ACATCAGCAGAGATTAACGTGACTTTTGGAGGTAAACGCCATTGATGTGTTACATGCTCCTGTTTCTTTTTATCCATTCAAACTCCAAACTTTAAAAACAACTTCAGGTAGTAACCTTTGTATTTCTTTAGGAGACACAATGTGGCTACTTCCTGGAGTAATTATTGGGATCATTGTACTCTTACTCTTAATTCTCCTCTGCTTGATCATCTTTGTTTGGTAATTATCACACATCATAGCAGAAAAACATAATTAACTACTCTCACAGATAATTTAGCTACACATTAAAGCTTAACTTTATCCACATATATTTAACATACACAGAGTTAATTTTACTGCCTCTTGTGTCTTCCAGGTCATTAAAGTCAAAGCAACAAACTCAACAACAGATTCTGGTAAGGGAATTACAAAAAAACAAAAACAAAAAAGGTTACCTGACTGTTTTGGCGATTACAGCAGTAACTTCATCAGAGCAGTCTATTTATTTAATAAAACATGAATAAGAATGAACCTAATTCACCGAGCTTTCTGTTTTTTAACTCTATAGATTCAAATAAATGAAGAGCAGAAGGTTGATGAACCCGCAAGTAAAAAGGAAGAAGAGGAAGAAAACATCCATTATGGAGAGATCAGCTTCTCTGCACTGGCATATGAAGCACCGTCTAACTCAGTGCGGGACAGTGGACAGCAGCAGGATACGGTGTACGCACAGATCAAAAAGCGAGAAAAGAGCTTAAAACAAAGGGCTCACGGCCAAGAGGAACTCTACGCTGAGGTGAAGAAAAAATGAGAACTGTTGTGAAATAATTTTACATTATCATAGAAATACACACATAGTGCCTGTAAATGTGGCATTTTCACTGCCTACAGTTCAGTGAAGTAAAACACCTAAAATCCCATTCCACGGCTTTTTTATGTCCTATTTTCCATGCTAACTTTACACGGCTGTTTTGCGATGATTAACTGTGTTCATGGTAAATGTGACTAAATGAGTAAGTGAGAAATTGCAGCACTCCAACAAGGAACTAGTTTTACACAACAACAGATGCTGTTCTGCAAAACTAAAACTTAAAACCTCAACATACTGTTGCTTTTTTTTTTAAGTATATTTTAAGTTATTATGTTCCTAAAGTATTTGCATGCGGCTACGCTGTGTGAGCTGTTGTTTGATTTTGTCAGTTGCATTTTTGAAGTTCTGCTTCCAAATTGTTTTTGTGGCACGCCCCACTGAATCTAAACAGAATTAAAACTGTAAACTTTGAATCTGTACTGCCATCGTTCTGTTTTGTCTCACTAAATAAGCCATACGCAGAGCATTGATCAGGATCTAACCATTAAGGTATTTTTTAGAAGTGTTATGCTGCATCACTCCAGATACACATCAGTCCAAGTTCCAACATCTGAGTTCCCAGATGTCTAAAATGCAGCACTGGAACCACAAACCAGTATTCCCATTCATGCTGGTGGGCATTTTCTTTTGGCTGCTCCAGAGTAAGTTTAACACTGCCGATCTGCATCGGGTAATCTAAATGTTCTCCTGGAGAGTTGGAAAGGCAAAGAGGAAATG